CCCCGCATTTTTAAAAACACCTTTGACCTTCTTCCACTCAACATTTAACAACCTGAAACTCTTGTCTAATTATTCCACCTCTAGGTCAACATCTGGGAAAAAGCTGGAAGTTTCGAGAAGAAATTATGTCGCGGTGAAGTCCTGGTCAAGCTGGACTGCCTGGACCTGTCTAAGCACACGATGGCCTGGTACAAGCTGTTCGAGATTAACTCCACTGACTACGGCTCAGACGAATTCCTCAACTCTTGGTGAACACAGACGTGGTGAACTGACAGATGGTTTAAGGATGGACAAGTTCCTCAACTCTTGATGAACACAGAAGTGGGAACTCTGACAGATGGTTCAAGGATGGACGAATTCCCCAACTCTTTGTGAACACAGACGTGGGAACTCGGACAGATGGTTCAAGGCTGAACGAATTCATCAACTCTTGGTGAACAAAGATTCCTCAATTCTTGGTGAACACAGACTGACCGATGATTCAAGGATGGTCAAATTCCTCAACTCTTGGTGTACACAGAGGTGGTAAAACGGACAGGTGGTTCAGGGATATGGTCACCGTTTTATATGAGGCGTGCTCGTATTTTGTAGGCGAGGTGTACAAAATGAAATATTTTTTAGTATTACATTAGCATGGATAGAACTAGGGAACCGTAAATACTGCCCCTCCTCTCCCGTCCGCTACACACAAATTCTTTGTCCAGATACCAAATTCATGAAAAAGTGTCAAGTACCTAAACAAAGGAGGTGGCGTCGGTGGCCTAGTGGTTAGGCTTCCGGACCCGTAATCGTGAGGTTACGGGTTCGGGGGCTCAAGCTTCAGCTCGGTCCGACGTTATGTCCTTGGGAAAGGCAATTTACACGAAATTCCCATTTGGCTCGGTCCTTTCGAAGATGACGTTAAGCTTGGAGGTCCCGCCTCTTAAATGACCTAATAGTATTGATAGAACCGTTAAACCTATAGTATTTCACTAAACAAAGGATGCGAAGGGTATAAAAGATTCTGGATATTGATAAAAGTGTGTCAGATAAAAGTGTGTCAGCAATTATTTTTTTAAAAAACTGTAGGTGCTTTTACAGCCTCATTGACGCATTTCAGATCATTCAGGATTTGGGCTTCCGATCCTGCCTGTCAGTGCGAACCTGTGCTGAGAGGGATACAACATCCCAGCAGAAAGACTGAGATACTCAATTAAAAAAAAATCCCCACTCGGGAATTGAGCTCAGGTCTCCAATTGCGAAGCGCCTAACTACTACTACACAGACGCATGTGTATAAAGGGGGCGGGGGGGGGGGGGGGGGGGCGGGGTGCAGACTACAGGAGAGTCTCCGGCGAGCAACCAGGAACTATTCAGAGACGCACTCCGGCACACAGATGAAGAGCTTGGGGGGGATTGGGGGGGGGGTGTCAAACTGCGTATTATTTTCTGCAGATCACGCATTTCACCACTAAAACTGTTGCAAATCAATTATTTTCAAGAAAATTTCAAGCTTAACAGTAGAATATCAAATTATGGGTTAAAACAGAGGGGCATATCCCCCTGTACTCCCCCCCCCCGCCCCAGATTTTAATTCGTTTTTTTTTACTTGGTCTAGAGGCACAAAACAATTTGACTGGTCCATCTCAGTTGGAGACGTCTCCGGATAAATACTGTGACAGCTGGAGACATCATGGACTCCGATTCCATGAAATAGTCGAGTGCTCCTTGACTGTTCGGTGAGGCCATGTCTGTTTGACATCAAGTCCTGATTCAATGGCATTCGTTTTACTGTTGTGGCCTTCCTTTGCTGCTTTATTGAACGCTCACCTTCGGGGTATTAGCAAAATATCAACATTTCCATGGAAGATTTTGTTGTGGTATGTTTGTCTCTTGTTTCTCTTTTCATATTTTGGATGATGTGATTGTGTTGTATTTCATCCTCCCAAACCTTTGACACAATTTAGATGGATTAGAAGACAGGATGTTGTATTTGTGCCTATCTATATTGTTTTAGTAAGCGTTTTACGGCACTTGCAACACAATTAGGTCATGCTAGTCCCGATGATTAAAGGTGTGGCAAGAGAGTACCACACATGCACAAACAAGGAGGAGATAAGGACGATAGAATTTTAATAAGAAGAAGGAGCAAACCCCATCAGAGCACCCACCAACCACCCACCTGTGTCTCTTAATTTCGTATACCAGAATAATGTTACCCCTTCATTACTGAGGTTTTTTTTTTTTATTGTTGAGTCTATAGATTATAAAACTGTCAAGGTCACAATGATATATGTGAAATCTGCTGACAAAATGAGTTACTCCTCAGATTCATTCCTTAAGGGAATAGATAAATCACGCTTATAGGTGAAGTTTTTACAGTTTATAAGTATGAGATAATAAAAGACAGGTTATACTTAAAGAACAAGGCATCCATTGAAAATCTACAAGTTTGACCCTCATGTCGAATTTTGGCCAATATCTCCATTCGTAGATTGCGAGAAGTAACTCATTTTGTCAGCATGTCTCATATATATATATATATATATATATATATATATTTGCCAATATACAACTCAGAAGCTGCTACGTCATTGTTTTCCATCTGTTTAGTGATCAACATTAATTTACGTAAATGCTTCAGGTTTTATTTCTACCAGTGTACACACATATTATGCAAAAACTTTGCTATGAACGATTTCGAAGTCTTTTCGGAACCTCGATTGTGTACAAAACTGGTTTGCTGAAATATTGTGAACATTTCACCCAACTGTGGTGAGAAAGGATTGTATTCATGAAATGAATTACGAATGCACATAGTTTTAAACGTTAAAACGTTTCTATTGTTCGTCTTTCCTGTTTCTTCAGGATGTCTGCCTTGTTTTTTTCTCTCTGGAATTGCAGTCTTATGGTGTGCAAACAGTGTTTAAATATCCGTGTGTCTACATAGCTTTCTTGTGTACATAGACGTAAGAGCTTTAAAAGTCCTATTGCTGTGGGCGAAGAGAGAGAGAGAGAGAGAGAGAGAGAGAGAGAGAGAGAGAGAGAGAGAGAACCGTATACTTTTTAAATGAGATATAAAACTGAAACTGTTCGCAATTGACGTGTCTATATTAATGGCTTCAGTTCTGTTATTATTGTTGTTGTTGTTGTTGTTGTTGTTGTTGTTGTTGTTGTTGTTGTTGTTATTGTCGACTTTATATACTTGCTTGTGATTCTCGCGAGTACTCTTTCTCAAGGCTGATATGATAACGTTATGCAAGGCGTGTGCTTAGAGAGTGTATCTTTTCTTTCTCTTCGTGTACACGTCAGCAAACTGTGTGTATTTCCTGCTCCAGCATTATAAAACTTTGTGAACGAGTTCAATCGGTTGATTTTTTAAGTGACTTTGTTATGAAACTTGAATAAAACATACTCATGACACACCAGTCTCAGTGAGAATTGTTTTGGTTTTTGGTGAAATATAGTTTCAGAATTTGGACGTGTTTGAATGTGTGTTTGTTTGTTTGTTTTGTATATATATATATATATATATATATATATATATATATATATATATATATATATATGTGTGTGTGTGTGTGTGTGTGTGTGTGTGTGTGTGTGTGTGTGTGTGTGTGTGTGTGTGTGTGTGTGTGTGTGTGAGTGTGTGTGTGTGTGTGAGTGTGAGTGTGTGTGTGTGTGTGTGTGTGTGTGTGTGTGTGTGTGTGTGAATGCGTGTGAGCGTGGTTGTACATGTGTGCCAGTAAGCATGTGACTGAGCGCTTGTGTGTGTGTTTGTAATTATGTGTAAAGTGCCTTTCCCAGGGACAAAATGTCTGTCCTCTGACTAGAGTCGAACCCACGACCTTTTGGTTTTTAGCCTAAAGGCCACTTTACACGTGCAGTTCATTCATCGACAAACTGCAGGATATCGAAAGAATGACGGGGATCCTGTCAATTTCTCAGTAAAACTGAGAGTGGAAACGAGCCTTTTATATAATATACTCCTATGTGCACATGAATACTAAAACAACATTATTCTAAGCTAGACCAGTTTGCACGTTGGAGTTGAGCAACTGAGGCGCTACACCCCTATCCACTCAGTTAAGATAATTTAGAAGATGGGCTCAGAAAGCATAGACTTCAAACCTCTGCCTGTGTGGGCCAACCCCGGCTTTGAGGGATACGCCAATCCAGCGGAAAGACGGAGATTCTGGACAAAACTCTCATAACAGGGGAATCGGACTCAGGTCTTCTGTGTACTGTGGCGAAGCCTGTAACCCATGACCGATACATCACAAGCGCCGGTACATTTTACGTGATTGTCCTAAAGTATTGTGGACTTATGAAGGGGCAGGAACATCATCACTCTTTCCTCTCACTTTGATCTCAGTCACTTGTTGACATTAATTCTGTAGTGTTGATGGAAATGAAACTGTTTAAACACAATGCAGTCTAGATTTGAACAGGAGAAGGCTATGCATCTGTGCACTTTCTAGTACAAGGTACAGTAAAGAAGAGGATTTTAGGTGCGTGTGTGTGTGTGTTCTCCCATTTTACAACCCGTGTTTCCCGTGTTTATCCGTTTCCACGTCCCACAGCCACACGTGTATATATGTGGTGTAGTGGTTAGGTGCTTCGCTGTCGCACATAGGAGACTCGAGTTCGAATCCCGAGGGGGAAGAAACTGTTTTTTCGAGCATATGTCTTTCTGCTGGGTTGTTGTTTCTCTGTTACTGTTAGCCCGTTTTGGTCCTGACGAGCATGGTCGGATGCTTGCCTCCTAAATGATCTAAAATGTGTTGATGGGGACTCAAAAAGACGAGAAAAAAGTTCCACAGCCTGATCTGCCGGTGTAATGTGTTGCTATTTCATTGGGGGGTGGGTGGGTGG